AAGAAACATGGAATTTATTAGATTTTTTTGCTATATTATTTTATATTATTGGTGTTATTACACGATGCTTTGTTACTGAAAGAGCATTTACAGTTTCAAAGTATTTAAGAAATTAGAGAATTATGAGAATGTTATACATTTCTTTCATGCTTGTATTTTCTCTAGAATTTGTATGTGTATCGATTTACCTTTATGGTATATTCGAATGTTACACGTATTTGCTGCTTTTGAACGACTTGGACCAAAATTGTTAATGATATTTCATACAGTACGCTATCCAAATTCAAATATAAAATTTATCACTATGACTATTTTATTGTTTAGATGAAAGATATAGCATTTTTCATTTGTTTTATTCTTATATTTTTATTCAGTTATTCAATCAGTTCATATGCAATGATAACAACTGAACAACAAGTTATTTGGTTAGATAACAACAATGGTAGTCCCAATTATTCCTTGTTAAAAGATGGTTCAGGATTATGGGATTGGAGCTTATTACGAAACGTTATTGATTGGGGAATGTGGAAAATATTTGGACAAGTGAATTTTTTTGATTATCAACTGGCAAACAGTGCAACATTAAACAGTAAAGTTTGAGATTTGTAATTCTATCAAATGCTTACCATTCAGCTGATTAATACACCGCAAAAAGACCGAAATAGATGACATTCATGAATGTCAAAATTGAAAAGAGCACCTATAGAAATGAACAGCAAATAAAACTCGTGGCAGAAAAACCGTGAGAAAAAAACGCAGAAATTGATCTGTTTGAAAGAAAATAAGTGAGAAAACCCATGAGCATAGAAGTCATTCACCTCTTTTTGTTGCCCCTATGTTATAAACGACATCGATTTCAACACAAATTCGGAAGTTTTTCGCCACTTAAAAAACGTCATGGAAACTTGATAAAGCATACCGAAACCCGATAGAATCTGATATAATCCTACGAGAATCATGCCGAGATCCTGACACCCGTATTCCATGCCGGAAGATGTCGGCAATGATCCGACCGGATTCTTCGAGTTTCAGACATCGCATTTCGCTGGATTTGGCAGAATGTGATTTCAGATGTTTGAAGGCTGAAAATAACCTTAGATTTTTTATTTCCTATTCTTTTCGTTCATTTTCTAGTGGCTGCTGTCTCTGCGCATTTGAGAGAGTGTAAGAACTCTCTAGCTATAGCGTGTGCAACACGTCTGTTGATCAGTGTGAGCAATGACTCACACTGTTAAGAAATTGAGAAGAAAGTTTTCTAGTTTTCATTTTCTGCAATTTCGTATTTAAAGCACTGTTGTCGCGAAACAAAAGGCCAAATAAAGCAAATAAATATGCGCACAGAAAAGTAAGAAAAAAAAAGAAGTGCGCATCACAGGATCTGTGGATTGGCGGTGACCGAAAACTAACGGATCCGACTGGTTCCGGATATTGGATTCGTCCTCCGGTTTCTCCAGGATTCAGATATCGCGAAGCGAAAGAATTGAGCTGATTCTGGTCTCGGGAGCCTGTCGGCCATCCAAATTTCGGAAATCATCGGAATTAAAAGTATCCTACAAGATCGAGGACGAATTCGACTTGGGTAAGACAGGCACTGAGGATCAGTATACGTTCGTATAGTATAGTTCACCTGGCAGAATGAAAAAGTCTAGTCAGAACATGTACACGTGCACACATTCTTTTTCGTCACAACTTTTATGTAAAAATAAGCATATAACGGGTTGAGCAGAGAAAATGGTGCCACTACCATTGATATTTCTTATATTTGTCAAAATATATGTCAAAAAGCTAAAGAATAGAGAATTGTGTTTAGATTTTAGTCATATGTTGTTTTCAAAAATAAGCATGTCCAGATCTTTTGCAGCAATAAGAATACTACTATCCGTACCAAAAAGCAGTGTTCCTGGCTATCTCGCGAGTAATTTAATAATAATATTTTTAGCGAATAACTTTTGATAGAAGAGTGTCAGAGACTTGTGGTTTCCAGTTTTTGAATTTAGACACTGAAGACGTCTTTTAGCAAGCAAAAACTCCTTTCTCCAAAAGTTAAA